ATCGCAGACAAGTCGTATTGCATCACCAGTGATTATTCCATTCAAAAAAGGGGGATGTGTTTGGTGTGCACATCACAACTGTTGATTCCCTGTGGTTGAGGAAATGTCTCCCAATTCACCCACAACCCAGATATCCACGTGCTTGACAAGTCCAATCTATTCGGCGCGATTATTGCTTGTGAGGCACTTGGGCTCTGTGCAATTTCTTCAATAGGTCAAAATGTGGCCTTGATGTGACCCTCATTAACTACATCAGGTCTACTAGAGCGTTGGTTAACTGTGGTGGAAGCATCTCCAACACCGACTTTCTTCACACCATTCCTGGCATTTGCGTTTTGTCAAACAGGTGACGTCATGCTCTTCTCAAATCGCACGTGAACCTGGTCAGTTTGCGTGGCCTTCAGGAAATAAGTAATAACTTGTCGCATGATATTCGTTTCATGAGCACAATTTTGACCGCGTTTGCCTCTAAAGCTGTCTAAATAAGCCATCCACCACAAGCCAAAGTCGCAAAATTGTGAGATGTCCGTCACCACGGAGATGAGGCATTTGTGCATCTGTGACCGCCGAAATGACTTTCAAGTGAAGCAATTCGGTAGCTTGTGTCCATAGTCCGAGTCACCAATGTTCTGGCTGCGAATCCAGAGTTTGTCGCGTGTCAAGCGCATTTCTTTTGCGCTCCCGTTTTGGTTGACACAGCTACTCAGGCTCACCCGCCCTTCTTCGTCACGTAAATGCTGTGTCGGAAACATTTGGCTCAAGCACACACTTTGAAGGGCTTGGCAGGCACCGATATCTCCTCAACCATGTGTCTGTTTACGGAGGTGAATTTTCTTCTCGAGAGTGTGTGTTTACTGCGGCTACTATTTTCGTGTTTCCTGTTACCAGGTGCTCCTTTTTGTCAGCTGACTGCTTCCTCAGTGCACTTTTAGGCAATGCCGATGCCATTTTAGCTGAGTTTTCAGCGTCTTATAGTGACTGTCGCGCATTTCCCGTTTTCCTAGCCCCATGCTCCCCGAATTTGTCTCCTTGTCCGCCTCAATTCGCAAGCCAGATCTACGCCCAAAACGTGGAACACTTCCACGTCAGCATGGTGATGAACCCCCTGTTCGAACGATTCATGCACCGTCTCGCCGTGCAAGTCAACGAGTCCCTTTTGGTAAGTCAAATGATTCCTTCAAAGTGGCTTCAAGCGAGCCGTCTACAAAGGTCCAGTGTGTTTTCTGTGTGCATTTGGCTGGGAGCTTTGTCAATTCACCTTGGTCGTGATTTGAGTTAGTGGTAAATGTGCTAAACCCAATGCGTTACCTCGATAAGCCCTCTTCTGACGCTTCTTTGATATTTCCAGCGTAATCATGAACTCGTCGAGGCTTTTGAACCGGTGAACTCTCTGATGAAGTTACTCGTGCACTTCTGCTTTGATTCTCGTTTCCACATGAAGCAGCACAACACGTAAGTGTGACGCCTTCTCTCTCTCTCCCTCCTTCCTTCACTTCCTGCCAAGGAGCTAATCGTCTTTATGTCTTCTAGGAGTATTTGGATTCGACCCTTCCTTGAGCTGCTTCAACTCGACACTTCTGTTCGAGTCGCCTTCTCACAGATGACCTTTCTTTCCAACCCCAAACACGTTTATGAATTCCTTTTCCGGTGTCCATATCCAGAGGTTAGAAGTGCTGAATACCATCAGTTGCTTTTTTGTCACGACCACAGCGTCATGTTCGTTAAATCTCATTCCAGGTACGCTTCCTCTACGGCCTTCTGATGATTCACATCGCCTACAAAGAGCTGACTGAATTCGTTTCCTCCGGGGAGCCCAGTTTCATGGCGTCATTCCAAACCTCGTCAACCCCCTCCCCCTCATCTTCCTCCAGCCGTTCTCCGGCTTCCCTCGGCTCCAGCACCAACCAATCCATCGCCTCCTCCTCCGCTGCCACAACCGAGCTCCCTCTGCATGACTTCATTATCCACCTTCTGATCTCCGAACTCCCCAATTGCTTCACGGCGGCAGGATCAGCGTCGACGTTTACCGAAACCACCTACGGACCGGTGACCTCATCCGGTGTCTATTGGTCAGCTTCAGTGTACGACCAGAAAACGCTGATTGCCAACCGAAGCAAGGGCGGACAAGTGCTCTCCTTCTTGCTTGATTACGCTCACCTTGGGCCAATAGCTGTGCAGCATTTACTGCAGCTAGATGTGCATTCGAGACTTCTTACGTAAGCCCCACTTCATCTCGTCCTCGGCCTAGCACTCATTGTCTATATTTGGCATTGCCGTCTTCTGCGCGTTTTGCCTTTTAGTTGTCTATTGGAGCGTGATCCACACAAGTATTCTTCATCCACATCGTCCCCTCTTTCCTCCCACGCTGCCAACCAAACCGTGAACTTGACTACATGCGAGGGTTACCGCGCGATCTGCCAAGCTCTCGGTGATGAATTCTTCCTCATTTTTGACCACTCCATTCGCCTTCTTGCAACCTACCACCTGGCCCTGGAGCAGTCGTCCTTCCGTTCGTCTATTTCCACGTCCTCGCCCACCAGCCTCCTCTCGTCCCTTCCCCCAGTCGAGTCGCCTGCTTACGTGTCAACCGGGGAATTCAAACCTCAACTTTTCAACTTCACCCCCTCCAATTTCGTGCTCTCCTCCGCGCTCAATACCGCCCTGGATTTGCTTACCTTCCTGCTGCGCAACTCCCAACCAATCGCCTTGCGACACCACCAGCTCCCTCAGTGCCCTCTTTCCTCGAAGGTTCTCCGAAAAGTCCTGGATGAGCGCAGCCTTGAGAAACTGCTTCATATGCTCTTCGTGAGCTGTCTGAGTCAATGCAGTCTCGTCCCCATTATCGATCTCGTCAAGGTGAGTCGCCCTTCTCACTTGATTTTCAATCTCAAGTCATCACAAGCGCCAGCTCTTAAGCGTGCTTTGTTTATTCACCACTGCAGACACTCACGACGGAGTGTGCGCCTCTCTCCAGATGTGTCATCGACGAGCTCCTGCCTGTGATCTTCCCTCGTCACCTCTCTGCTAACCCCGAGGTGAATTCGGAGCTCGCGATCCCAGTCTTCATGGAAGCCCTCTCGGTGTTCGACTCCTTCCAAGAGGATCGTCTCTCCTATGCATTCCTGAGTACGTCACAACTCGGTGCCTTTTCGTTTCATCACCACACGTCTGACACACAGCCCCACCCCCCTTTTTATGGTTGGGCCGTTAATCGATTTTTTCGCTTTCAACCTAGGTGACGATCCAGTTAAGCCGAATCGCCGTAATCAAACAAGTAGTGCGTTCGTTGCCAATGTCTGACACAGCCACCAGCACATTGCTTTAAGCTAATTTTCTTACAAATCTAACTCTTCTCACTTCTTTCGCCTTTCCTTGCTTTGTGTAACCAGTCCAGATGGTACTCCAAGTTTCGTGGTAGTGCTATTTTATAGTGAAGCTTTCAGCAACTGGGGCTCTACAGGTGCATTAGCGTGCTTTCCCTCCCCCCCCTGTTAACGCGCCTCGCCCTCTTGTTATCTCGGTAAACATCATGTGGGATTTCCACACCTCCTTTGCGTTTTAGGCAACAACATCTACAATGTGCTCACTCTAACCGAGCAATCGCAACCACACACACTCGGTACCCTGGGGATGCTCATGTTGCGCGCGTTGGCCAACATGGTGGTTAAATTTGACTTCTTCCGGGAATTCTTCGAATCCCATAGGCACGCGGGTCTCTACTTCGCTGACGTAAGTGTCTGTCCAAGCGTAGACCACCTCTTCCATTCCGAGCATTCGTCCATCACGCGTGATCTTCCCTCTTTTTGTTCTGCAGATCATTAGTCGTGTCCTTGGGGTGTGGGAACGCTCTCCACCACCCTCTGCAACAGCGTACTTGCAGCTTCTGGACGCAGCCAGACAGTTTCTTCCGACTCCAGTAAGTTTAGACTTTTTTGTTGGCTTATTCATCGTCACTGCAGTTTGTATCACCACTGTCTTCGTGTTATAGCTTTCTGAAGACGAAGAAGAAGGCGAGGAGGTTTGTGAAGATGATGACGATGAGGAGGAGGCGGAGGATGAAGAGGAGGTGGAGGAGGAGGAGGAAGAAGATGATGGGGTGGTGCGAGGAAAAGAAGTGGATTATGAAGATGAGGAAAAAGTGGACGAAGGAGAATCCATGGATAGTGGAACCGAAAATGGCGACTTCAACTCGAGTGTCGAAATGCGTAACGACCATCCCGGGAACACCAACGATGGCCGTAATAACTAACCGCCCCCAATGCTTTCTCATGGAGCCGTTGGAACGAGTTACATTCCGCCTCTATGCTTTCACCCCCACCTGCATCGCACTGTCACGCGTCAAAACAGACGCTTTAGTTACCGTCAGACCTACCGCCCCGCCCCCATGTCCTGCTTTCGCAGGACGCATATTTTTCTATTTTTCGTCACTGCTCTTGCTGATGGTAAAAAACGGCTTTTGGTTTTTTTCCCGTTAACCCTTGTTACGCGCGCACGCGCCCCCTCCCCCCCTCGCGTCGACAACTCGGTTGTCGTCGCCTGATTTCCTGACAATGTGTTTTTGCTGCCCTCCCTTTTGTCTGCCGAAACAGTCTTTCTCCCACCTCCCAACACTCCCCTCCCCCTGGCCTCTCTACCCTCGACATCCTGCCATCCACTCCAGCCATTTTGCCAACCCTTGCCACGTTTTACTAAACAGACTTGCGTCCCACCCACTCTCCTTGTATACTGCGTCTATATATCCATGCTCAGCACAAAGAAGCTGAGTGATTCGCAGATGTCTTCCGGTTCGCCTGTAAACGTTCTTTGAAACGAAACTTTTCTGCAACACTGATCTGCTTTGTTGTGACACGTCTTCAGTGGCGTCGATCGACCACTGCGGATGGTCTTTATAGGTGAAACGTTGACGATCAGACTGCCTACTTGGATAAAATTCACGTTTTGAAAGAGTGGAACAAGCTAAACGGTGTTTTCACAATCCTCTCTCATCCCTCATCAACATAACTAACCTTCATTGGATCGAGTCACAATTTACGATAGGAAAAATATTTTTGTACACCAAGATGAGATGAAAAAGATTCTGGAAGTATGGGCGTGAAAGAGCAGGCAAAGGCGGAATTGTCGCATACAATGTGTTCCCAACTCACGCAAGTCAGTGTTGAGATCCAAGCAGGGAGAACAGAGCCCGTCAGTCGAAAAGTGCGTCAACTTTTACCTCGACATCGATTGACGACATTTCGCTCAAAAGGAGCAGTAAACACGGGGGATTTAAGATGGAATATCTGTTAGCCTGTTGACAGTTTCACTTGCTTAGTTTTCGGCAGGATTAGTTACGCGGGGGTCAAATTTAACACCACACATCGTTTTGTAGAATTCTATAAGGGCAAGAAAGCAGTTGAAGTGAGGTTGAAGGTGTAGAAAAGTGGCACCGGTATTGTCTGAAAATGCATCGAGTACCTGGTAACAGGAAACACGAAAATAGTAGCCGCAGTAAACACACACTCTCGAGAAGAAAATTCACCTTGGTACACAGACACTTGGTTAAGGAGAAATCGGCGACTGCCAAGCCCTTCAAAGTGTGCGCTTGAGCCAGATGTTTCCGACGCTGCATTTACGTGACGTATTGAAAGACATCTTACAATTTTGAAAGTTTGGCTTATGGTGGATGGCTTATTTAGCCACATTTAGAGGCAAACGCGGTCAAAATTGTGCTCATGAAACGAATATCATCTGTCAAGTTATTACTTATTTCTTGAAGGCCACGCAAACTGGGGAGGTTCACGAACGATTCGAAAAGTGCATGCCGTCACCTGTTTGACAAAACGCAAATGCCAGGAATGGTGTGAAGAAAGTCGGTGTTGGAGATGCTTCCACCACAGTTAACCAACGCTCTAGTAGACCTGATGTAGTTAATGAGGGTCACAGTAAGGCCAAATTTCGACTTTTAGAAGAAATTGCACAGAGCCCAAGTGCCTCAAAAGCAATAATCGCGCCGAATAGATTGGACTTGTCAAGCACGTGGATATCTGGGTTGTGGGTGAATTGGGAGACATTTTATCAACCACAGGGAATCAATAGTTGTGATGTGCACACCAAACACATCCCCCTTTTTTGAATGGAATAATCACTGGTGATGCAATACGACTTGTCTGCGATCACACCCTGATGCACCAATACAGACCATCTCGAACGCCGAACTGCATCACAAAAGATCATTTTGCCAACTAGACGGAATTACAATGATGATGAATGCCTCGTACTGCTTCCAGGGAAACGTGCGACCAAGCCAGATGTTTGCTGCCCAGCACAGGTGAAATCGGATTGTGTGGCAGTCCAGTTGCAAGGACGTCACGATCACCCGTGGCCACGCGAGTCCGTCGTGCATATTTGGAAACTCGTGGAAGGTTATTGGAGCTTAGTTGGCTAGTGGTGTCGCGCACGTCCCATTCAGCCCCCATCTTGCGCCCCCCCAACCACAATTCCAATCGATTTTGAGAAAAAATTTTCAATATAAGCATTGTACATGAACTAGAACGTATTTTAGTCTGTTCGCTGGTAGCATGAGTGCACTAGAGCATGGTGTTTGTAAACGTCATTGGACACAATTGGTGTTTAATCTACATTGTTAAACAATAATACTTTGAACCACAAGAAGAGTTATCACTTCGCACTTCATGAATGAAATTGTTCATTGCTATCATTTCTTTCCTGCTTCAAGCGATAACTCAGCATCATTGGATCTATCTTGCTGCGGTCGTCACTTGGTATTTCCCATCTGCCATTTTAAAGGCAAGACGAGGATTTTGCAAAGACGATTTCTCCAGTCGGTTAATTAAAACAAAAATATGGAATTTGAAATTATGAACTGCGACTGTAATAGTCTGACTTCTCAAAACAATCTGTTAGAGCTCGCACTGTTCTGATCTCCTCACCCCTTTGATTTGCACTTCCACCGCCATTTTTGTATTTTTGCACCAACTTTATGAGTTCCACACCTCATCAAATCAGGGTTTCAAGTAATCGACCAAGATGCGTTTGTTCAACCAACATTTAGTGCTGCCAACCACCGCATCGGCGATCTTGTAACACTTGGGAAATACACATCCCTGGAAGAAGGTGGCTGTAGTTATGACGTAGTTTCGTCATGGACACACCCCTGTTGATGACTACTGAAACATCACCGATTCCTCAACTTGCCGATTTCCAAATTTGATGTTCTGCCTTCATGTGAACAAAATGCGCAACGGTGGAGCCGCCGAGGTAACACACGTCCTGCCACCGAAAATTTGCTGGTTGTTTCCGGAACTGATCTGGTCTCTACCACGTTGATCTAGTCACTTGGCGCTAAATTTAGTCATTTTGTATACCATTTCCATCCAACAATTGATAACGCTAATAAACGGTCATGTCCTCTGTCGCCTCTAGTCACAGGCTGTTGACTAGGGGGTTGTAAGGTGGTGCTAAAACTCTAGCTACCACAAGTCGCACTTGCTAATTCAGCACACTCGCCGTGTCGGTGATCATTGCTCAAATTGGTCACGTGAGATTTTCATTGGCCACGCCTTTGATTGATATTATTCACTAAGTTATTGATTTTTTAGATTTTAATTTGACTTAATTACTGATTAGCGTGTAGATTGTTGGAGTGACGGACAATTCACGCCTCGAAACGACGCACATAAAAATGCCATTTACGTGAGGTCATGTCTAACTCCCAAAATGCCCAGTATTGATTGAAAGGTCTGGTGAACGAGCACCATCAACACAATCACTTCTTGTGATTACTCATGCTTGCACGTTACACGCACCGCTGTATATCAGATCATGGGAACCTGCGTGAAGATGTGAAATTTCATAAGCTGAATATCCCAAAATACGCGTGTTTCGCGTGGATTTTTGTGGGGAAAATTTAAACCTCAAACAGCACATATTTCGATGCTCCAGGCAAGCGGAATTTTACAACATTCTGACTCTTTTTATGTGCTCTGATGAAGTGGGTGGTCAGGGCAGGGTCAGGTTTTGTTATGGCAGTAATTCGTCGCAATCGAGCTAGCAAAATTGGCTTTTTCATCTGCTATTTCTGCCCTGTTCATTTCTACGTCGGTGGCATGCATGTACCTTGCTTCGTGGGTGTTTGCAAGGTGATAGTGCCTTGACAACTACATTGCAGCGATTCTGCTTTGATAATAAAATGCAAAAAAAACAATGGACGCTAACGCGTGGCAGCAAATAATCACTGAGCTTGGCCGAGTCAATGGAGCCGGTGATTATCTCCACTTTAAAAAAAATCGTTAAATTGGAACCCGAAACTATCCGACATTCCTTTCCGTTTTCTCTTTTTTGTAAATATCACGAATCCGTTCCTTGATTTGGTCCTAAGCCATCTCAGGCACTAACAGTTGGCCATTTAGACGGCCATTTGACAAGTTTTTTTACACTGCTCTGAACTACTATCGTAGTTCACTACAGAACATAGTTCTAAAGTAGTTAGCAGCCAAAAAGTTATTGGCCTCTGATACACCTTGTTTAAATATGATCTCCACCTACAGGCGCTTGTTTAAATTGCCCCATTTTGACGCGCGCCATTTTAACATAACTCAACGAGGCGGCTGCCGGATGCCTCCGTAAACCACACATTCCATACACGACTCCCATTACGACCGACCTTATTCTACTTTCTCATCGCCAATATTTTCTCCCAAACACTACTGGAATATACCAGGCACTCGATAATGTCATTATTGCGTCGTAGGATCCACAGTTAACCATCTCTGCTGGAAAGTCAGTATTGATAGTTGGTGCCTAAGGGGAAGACAAATTAAAAATTTGAACGCAGACCTATCGCAAGACTTCGTACACTTAAATTCGCTTAACCCTTATTGCTAGCAGCATCATTTTACAAGGATTAAAACAAGATAGGGTGTAATAGACCGAAAAGAGTAACTTAAAGTCATTGATTGGACGCTCTGAGTAAATAAACCGACAGGAATATGAGGGGATAGCAACCAATCACCAGCGGGTTCCTACGCGTGCCCGTCTGATGACTGGAGCCGATGTGGTGAAAACGGTATGAAGATGAGGAGGTCCTGGCCTTGGATTTTCTTGGTTATTTTACTCGTGTCGAACTTTTTGGCGGACAGTTTGAAGGTCTGATTGACCTGCATGTCGTAATTCGTTGTCGTGGTGGGCTCTTGGTCGTCCTCGTTCAGACCATTTTCTGAGTCCTCCTTAGAATGCCGCGCGAAGACCACCTTCACTGTCTCCTCACGTGGATCCACGTCCAGCTGGACGCTCCCATGGTCTACCTTTTCGTCCAATCGAATTTTTATTTGACAACCATCGTCTGTCAGCGCGTAGGAGGTATCCTTCATGAACAAAAAGCAAGCAGTCATACCCATTCTTCAAATCCAACGTCAATCAATGTAACTTTGACATTTTCCTTGTAATTTTATTGAGGATCTAGGCAATTCTATAATGCTTCTGATCGTCCCGGGGCCTCGGAGTCTGTGGGTGTGTAGTAACCTTCAGCGATCGGGCGTGAATGATGCCAATAGTGTCAATGACTCACCCCTATTTTCATTGGTTGCCTGTAACGCACGCTCACACACCGCACACAATAGCACTTTGCATTGTCTGACGCTAGTTAGCGGTCGTGTCCGCTGTCGTATCAGTATATTACGTTGCATACGAGACAATGGATCTGCTACCCCATGTGATGCTCAATTTGTTTAAACTGATATCGAGGGGAAACTAGAAAGCACTACCTTATCGGGGGTGGGTGCAAGATCGACAAGAGCTTCAGGCATCTCCGAATAGGTGGTGATGATGGGATTCACGACGCGTCCCTCCGGCGACAAATCAACCGTGCCCCGCACCGTCTGCTTGTACTCCTTCGACCACGTGCGAATGGGTTGGTGGACTTCGTGGGTGGCAGTCCGCAGTACCTTGCCCGTCACTACCACCGTGTTCTCCGTGAACGGCTGACCCTCTTCGTCGACGTCATACGACGTGGAATGGTGACGGAGGGAATGGTTAAACCGGCTGTCATTGTACTGGTGGATGTTCTTGGTTTGTAGTTTGTACGAGACGGTGCTGAGGTCGGTGTTTTGCGGTAGTATCAGCTCCTACAATCAAATGAGTAATCAAGTGAGTTCGCTATTCACGATCTGTGTAAACCAAAGCCCCGTATTGCTTCTTGGCGCTTATCAAATGTCCTTTTTGGCCTCGGAAATTCATCCACCGCTACCTAAAACCCTTCCTTCTGAAATTCGGTTCGATTTTTGGAGTTTGTTCAAATTGATTTCTTCGATTTTTGCACTGAAAGTCTTCTGGTTGACAAGCGAACTCAGTTATGTCGAATCGATCTTAAGGGAACTTGGTAAGATGTACTTTTTAAGGGACATTAATTTCAGTGATGAGTGTTTGAGGTAAAAAATAAAGTACAAATCTGTGAATCTGTAAAAGTCTAGTAAAATCCACCCTTCAGTGCTCGTTAAGATTAAATTGGTGGACGGGACCTCTCTAAGCTCAAATGGTTGCAAGCACCCCTACGGTTATTCTTTTTAATTGTTTTAATCAGGTGACTATGGACTAATTCAAATAATCCCCAAGTCTTCCCTGACACAAAGCGTATTGGCTGAGTTTGAAACTGTAGCGGGCCTCGGTGTAGTTTTGGGAAACCACACCCAGTGCATTCACGAAAATCGCTTGAATCGTGTTCACTCACGCTTGCTAACTGCGTTCGCTCACACTGCTCGCCACAAAACTCTGGACAAATCGATTGGTTAACATGACCTTGGGCATTATCATCGACGATTCCACGTTAACTAGTTACTGAACGGAATTTCTGACGTGTTTGTTGAGCCCAGTTATGTCACTCTTATTTGATTAATCACACCTTTTTCTGCGAAGACCCCTCCGTCATCCACTTTTTCCTGTCAACGCGTCAAGGTCTAAATCATCTAGAAATTATTTTTGTTTAAATGGAGAACTGGCACAATACACGGGAGTATAACGATTCCCACCGCCGCCATCTTTCTGCTACGATTGAATGCTGAGGTCAGGTAAGACTGTTTAACCTAGCCAATGTATCTAGGATTAAGCTTATTGACGCAAAATACGGACGTCTAAATGGGTATTTTGAAAGTTGGTGCCTTGAGACTACATCTTTGGATTACCATTGACTCAGATTAGGGTTCTCCATATAAACATGGCCAGTTTCAGTTACCACAGGTGATAGCTAATGTGTTAAATGTGCTTTAATCGCTGGTACGTCCCTTTCCCGGAAAAGTTGTAGATTAGCAGTTAGCAACCGCCATCGCAGTCAAATTCACTTATTACACCTCTACGAAAATTGCTAATTTTCTGTCTAAACTGATCACAATCACTTGGACTAATTTTATAGGATCAGCCAAGTGACATCATGCTTTTAAGTGTGAAAGATACTGAAGCCCATCTGTCTACAGCATTTCCATCGATGTAATTGGCCACAACACAGTTCCCTGTCTACCCCCTAGCCCTCCCCCAACAATGTCAAACTGAAGATCTCGACTTAGACTTCAACAATTGAAGCAACCCACTAAATTCCTAGCTAAAATTTAACATCGGTTCAAATTTCATGGCCTGGATTTGCAAGTTGCATTCATTGTCAAAAATTGTCATTCGCCTTAGATGTGAAAAACTGTGTGCCGATCACAATTTTTTAGTACCTGTGGTAGTTACGCATGTTCATCAATTAGCTCGGGGCTGAGAGTCATATTTTGGCATTGCTGGTTGCCAAGGCAACCAGGATGAGCAAACCGCAGCGATCGTGCTCAAACAGCTCCCTCACGCCTCCAGCCTCTCTCATCACACAACACCCGCACTGCTACCCTCATATGCGCATAAAATAGCCTCTGTGGTGCGATTTCTTCGAACTACGATTTTACTCATGATTAAAAGCCAAACCAAAAGCAGTTTACGGTGGAATTTAGGCAAACCGTTTAGGGGGTTTACCGGTAAATGAGCAAGCTCACTTCGTCTTCCACATACCCTCGATTAAGCATCATCCCCGTGCCGCAATTAACTGTTGTTTTTTGCAAGATCAGCTACTTAAAAGAGAGATTTTTTAATCCTGTAATTATGTATTAGAATACTTAGATAAAATAGGATTATAATTTGTCAGATGTGGATAGCGAATTCACGAGATCCAAGTAAACAAACGCCTCGGCAGAAATCAAACAGCTGATTGGATAAATCCCACTTGAACTTAGAGCCAATAACTTGAAGGTCAAAGTTACTACCGCCAAGTTTGCATTCGTGTGCCTTGGGATACTTGGGGCCGTGTGCTTTTGCTTAAAGAAGTGCCTCCAAAAAAACTTACAAAATGCAGCACCTGCTGAACTTGACCCACCAGAAAAATTCGATAAAAGCGTGAATACTCAACCAAAATGAATTTTGTTTTAGTGCAGCTAAACATTGGAGTGGAATTTAGGTACGGTTTATGCAAAAATGTGGAGCAAAATCGCTTCACCTTGCAAATGAGACTTCCAAAATGACACCTCAGAGGCTCTCAGTGACCGCGTGGGTCGTCACAACAACGACCAATTAAATACGTCGTTAAAGCAATTCACGGACCAATCAAATACGTCGCGGCATGCTGACGTGTTGTGAATTGAAAGTTTAAAAAAACTCACCTCGTTAAAGTCCTGTTCAGCGATTGCTCTCAGCGTGGGTGACCACCGTCTCACCTTACCGTAGATCCTCAATTTTTGCACATTCGTCCTTCTCATCGTCGAGTTTTCCGAAGGTTCTGCTTCCAGCTTGTCACAACTCAATCTCGTAATCACCCCGCTCGGTAATTCGACACTTCGCTGGAACCAACTGTTCCTCCTAATAGTACAGTCTTGAATCGAATTCAATTTGTCATCGATTGACAACCACTTGGTCTCCTCGAAGTCACGAATCAGGTTCGAGGGTGTAGTATTCATCCGCCTGAGTGTGCTTCGTTGCATAGTGGAAAACGTCTCCTCGGTAGACGTTCTCAAGTCGTCGACCTCCCCTATGTCTGTCTCGTCTGTCTCGTAAAGGGGGTAGGGAGGTTCCGGGGAAACGGGGATCAGGTCCTCGTACACAATGGGGGGCGGCAGGTGTGTCGCTATCGGCGCCGGAGCCGGTGCGTACATCATTGGAACCACGTAGGGTACCGAGTAGAGCGTTGCGCTTGGCATCACTGGAAAGTATCCGCCAGAACACTGACGACAGAGGCGCAGTCTTGGGGGTGACCCGTGGCGGGACGAATAATGTGGAGCTACACTCCTAAGTGGACTTCCGTAGACATCTCCGATTGGAGTTCGGATGTTCAGGCTTCGAGGACGCGCTCGTGGCATCGTTGGAGAAGGAAGTTGATCACACGCACAGGCGTGAGGGTATGATTGGAGTGGATTTTGTGAGTCGCATTTTATTTACTCTTGAGGGTGCAATTTGATTGGTGCCTTCGGTTAAGTAATGTACCTTGTTGTGCAACATTCGTGCAGCCTATGGCAAAGCACGAATCCTTGTGGTTACAAAAAGCGATGTTGGCGCTTACTGATTATGACAGGGGAGGAAGTCAAGTGGAAAACGAAGACTTACTATGGCGCTTGTTCTGAAAACCCTTAAGAGTGTCTATATTTAACCATAAATTGACGGCAGCCCTACATCTGTTTTATTGGTCAACCGATTTATCAACAAATTAGGAAATATTTCTGGTCCATTCGAACTCCACCACCTCGCAATCAGAATTTGTGAATATGATTGGCGAGGGGTTTTTGAAAATGAAAGCTTTCAATATGGATGATTTTAGCAGCCCATAGTTACTGAGTATCCATCCTCATAGCCGAAATTCGACCTCACGATGACGAGGATAATTGGTGTCGACCTTGAACCTGTCATTAATGAGGACACGCAACTTACAACCACGAACCTACTTGTCCAATTTACTTGTCCAGACTGAAATGCAGTAAATAAACCTACAGAGACCAATAATAAAACACATTTTTTTTCAATTCTTGATTAATTTTAAAGTCCCGTGGAATCGCCCTTCCTATAACCTCCCTGTTAGAGTCACACAGGGATCATGTGAGTGGAATTAATTAATTGGGTTTATGGTAGATTAAGTTAAATGCGCAAAACATTTTAGAAGCACGCAAACAGATCGTTGCCCTACAAGTGCGAATATTCACCACGGGAATGATTAAGGAGGCGATTTGAGCACGTAAACGAGCCATTTGTGCGATTTGATGGATAATTGGCAAATACAAGCTCGGCATTTTGTGGGGAAATAGTTGACCACAGCTGTGGTGAAATGCGAGAGAGCGACCCAGCTATCCACGAAGGATGGTGGGAGGACGGTTTTTATCTTAGAATATCAACTGGAAGAATTTACGTGATGCTCAAGTAATTGATAATTCGGGGATAAATTCGTAGTGATTAGTAAACTTTCTGAACAATTTATGCCAAAAAATATTTCACTCTGTTACTATTAACATCAGAAACCCTATTCAGGAGTCTTGATTAGATTGAATCGTAAAACGTAGTCATCGAAATGAAATTGAACTGACCAATCAAAACCATTCGAGCTCAAAGTTAACTATTTTGCAACAGTCTACGGAAGGGTTTGTGCCATAGCATTTTTACAGTTTTCTGTGCCTTTAATAGGTAAAAGCTTTTGGGGTTTGCTATTTTCATGTGTTAATGTACCTTCTTGCGCCTCTAGTGTAGGCTGGTGTTGCAATCCCCATGTGTTAGCAGTTGCAATTGAGTCATGTTATTTTGTTGCAAAGATCACATGTCGATTCCCAGGTAGAAGGGCTACTTGTCAATGATTGGATCGTTTCGAGGTCGAAAATTATTTCGATGAAATTCTGGGCTAACTGCATGTAATTAGTTTATTCTAATGGCTCAGGAAACCAACTCACATGCGACACAGGTTAGAAATGGTTTTCACATTACAAAATAAATTGAACGAGCAAACGCACGGCTGTAGTTCTGTTAGTAAGCCAGAATCAGTGAGTAAAGTGCAACCAATCACATTTATGATAATATTTAACCAGTGGCCAATGAAGACAGTTTGTGAGGAAATCGAGCGTTAGTCGCCAAGTCGTGAGATCATGAAAGTATTCGCAACAAAAAAGCCTGAAAAGAAAATTCTTAACAACTTGCAAAAAAGCGGCAGAATGTTCGTTCATCAAATAGCCGGATCTTAAACCTCGTGACTAATTCAGACAGGCGTCCCACTTGTAGCTACAAAAGTTAAGCGCATTGATACATATATAGGATTGTAAATTTACAAACGCACTGATGTGGAAACAAAGCATGACCTCTTAAACCATATTTATTCATGCAATTTAACGGCTTTCATTGACCAATAAGAGACAGGGTCACAGGAAATTTGAGTGGATCTTTTGAAACATAAGTTAGTGCAACTTGATTTCTCTCTTAACTGGTTATACAATGGAAACGGAGCGGGTTCCTTGTACATCGAATAAAATTGAAAATGATTTTATTGTGAATGTGTATTGTGAAAGTGGCAAAATAATGAAAATCGATCGAATCGCGTTTGCGCACGCTTGCACACGGCTTTAACTCACGACTACTAGCGGTGCTTCCTTGCTGCTCACCATAACTTTATTATTTGGGTTTTAAGGAAATAGGAAAACAATTTAGCAAAATTAAGAAAATAACATCGACATTGCGTTTTTCCCAACTTTCAAAGTTTTGCCTAGCATGCGAACATTCAGCGTGTATCATTGGGGTAAGTTTAAAAGCTTACGTTAACAAAACGCCAAAGATATGTACTGATACGACAGATAAAGCCAGTGAAAAGGACAATGAACTCCACTGAGCGATATCCTGATGCATCTTATCTAGGCTTCAAGGGTCTACGTAATCACATATGATGGCTGTTTGAATAAATCGACAAAGGAAATCAAATTTGTCTTATTTTTCAAAGGAATCACAAAAGATTTGAACGTCTAAAGCAACAAATTTGCGAAATGGCCATTCCAAAATAGCCATTAGTTGCTACGAAAGAAGACAGCAGATCGCAAACTAAGTCACTCATGTCCTAAACCTACGAAATATCCTTCTAATATTGGAAAATTATATTTGGATCCCACGTTCAGATTCCATTATCGAACATGCTACAGAAGAGTCTTTACAAATTTATAGAAGTGCAAAAAACGTATCATCACTTTATCAAAAATAATAAGAAGCTTGCGTAAAATTAGTAAACACAATGTTATGGTCAATCAATTAATTAAACACCACTGGAATCATAGCATAAATTGTTGTAATTTATATGGCAAAATTTTAACTAAATCAAAAAATCCTGGTGGTATTTGCTGCCTTACAAATTTAATCGGAATGAGCATAATGTCGAAGCAACAATAGACAAATCTTAAAAAATCAAAATAAAATGCATCTATTGTACTGGCATGTAATTGCGCGGAACCATCGTTATGAACACTGAAATTTAACAACTACACACATAGCAGCTTCTGAAAACCAAAACGAATTATGTTGCAACGGTGCCAGCCACAATTAGTATCCGGATGTTTGCAGCACTTAATGCAGCTGGGTTTGTAATGTGCTATCTAGGCGTGAATGTAATTTTGAATGAAACCTACCCCCATAAAGCAACAATTAGAAAGGTCACGACAACGCTAATAAAAACTAAGTGCGCTGAATGGCCTCTCACAAGACTATAATTAATAAAGGATGCTAGTGATTTAATAGCAAATGCAATGACTTCTGCTCCAGTAAACCTGTGCACCATCGGTAACGGGAGTCACTCATTACCATTATCTAGGGATGAAAAACGAGTAAATATTTTAGCATCCTACATTTTCCAGTATTATTATTTTTAAACATGCTGTAAGTTTACGTTTAGTAATATACTAATTGAGATAATTGCCTACACGTCAGTATTAATAAATTGTGCTTGGTTTTGATTGGCTCTTACAACGTGTGGTGACTAAAAATCGTGCGTCGTGTGTGTGTAGACTATCTTATTAGCAAAATCTGACATCATGACCGACACAGACTCCACTCCGGAAGAGAAGTCAAAGAAACCAACAACGCATGATGAGAAGAATGCTGCTGACTTAGAAAAAATGACAGACGTCTTCGAAGAGACCGAAGTTTCAGCTGGGATGACTGACGCATTGAAAAAAGTTACTGGTGGGGAAAAACAGTCTTCTGTACCCACGGAACGCGCTCCTAGGATTAAAATTAAAGCAGAAGATGTTGACATAATCGTGAGCTTTATTGTTTTTTGGAAAGTTCACTTCAGCTGAAATGCTCAGGCGTAAGGCCCTAAAATTTAAAATTTAGTATAAAGTGGTCATGTAGTCATTTTGTCCATTTTGTTGGTTTTGACTAAGTTAGATATCACTATCTTTTTATGCCTTTCTATTGGAACCGGGCTGCGTGTATTTAACTTTCATTTTCTTAGCAACTCAATACCTCTATTTTTATATATTTACATTAAGGAGTCGTTTGTTCAAAGTAAAAACTCCCGCCTATTTGTCAAAGCGTTGTTTTTATGACAGGTGTTTAGCATATGCGTTTATTGAAACAGTGTTAACTCCCTCTTTAGGTCCAGGAGTTTGAGATTAGTCGTGCTGCTGCAGAGAAGAAGCTAAAGGAATTTCATAGTGATCTTCGCCAAGCTCTTTCTGCCCTCTGCAAGTGAGAGGGCGATCTTGACTTTCTGTATGTATTTACTAACACATGTGTATATTTGGCCAAGTCTTTTCTTCTTCGTCGAATCTCCGATTTTTCACCTTGAGGTTCAGCTTGCACATAAGATGTTCTTGAAGTATCTGCGTTGTTAACCGACTAAAGAAGTCAATTTTGGCTGTAAGAAAAATCCATTTCTGAAATCGGGCGTCCTTATTTAACCTACCATCTCTTTCCTTTGGGTTATGTGCTTAAGCTGTTCCACACGCGTAACACGCCACAACGAATATCTTGTAGCAAACTTGGTCTTCTTGCTCATTTATTGCACAACGCTCCTTTTAAATTCGTGTTTATATAGTAATGCATCGTCGTATCCCAGGATACAACCTTTAGGAATGTTGCAGGGGTTATTTTTATGCATGAATCAAAGGAGGAATTGTTCAGAAAGGTAGTCTCACTTCAAGGTCGCTGGTCGTGCGTTCGAGGGAAAATTATTGTCGTGTAAGCCACCCGCGGGTGTATAAGGAGCAATTTGAATCTCACTGGCCAGTAGACTGCACCACTGGACAAAGAGGTACTATGAATTATTATGCAAAAACGTATATTTGGTTCCAGCTTTTTATTGGTTGTGGCAGGGGTCATGAGAGGGTACGTGAAGTGGGTTGCCGAGTTGGCGTGTATGGTGCCACAGCTATCAATGAAGGGTCATCTCCAAGGTGATCGGCTCAATTATTCCAAAAATGATAAACTGAAAACGTGATTTTGGGACATGGTCGAACTCCCCCGGCTTTGATACAGGCAGAACTTTCGTATCACCGAAATTCAAGAGCCTGCTGTTGCCAGTTATTAAGGTAGATATACCAATGGTAACGATGGTAAATAAAAACTGAAAATTTCTAAGGAGTTCGCGATTACAATGCCGTAGGTATTCAGGACTGGCAAGAAACCACTAAGGCTAGGTTGTGATTAATGGAAACGACACTGGTAGATAATAGTTTACCACGAAATAATGAGTTATGGTGCGCCATCGTAAGTTCGGGGTTCCCATCACGCGTTCTTGGGAGTTGAGCCTGGGATTATGGATGATTTGGATGGAGTAGAGAATGACGCGCAAAGATTTTACGGGAGGTGGAATGAGGTTTTGAATAATCCAAAGTACTTGTTGGCCTTGTGTGGACGTGGAGGTTCGTGTACACTGGCGTTAGTCCCGTAAAACGATTTTTTTCACTATACTGATTTTGTTAAAACACTTACATTCCCCAATAGTGGTAAGGACTCTATTGGCTGATTACATTTACTGATGAAGACCCGAATCAAAACTGACTGCTAGAAAAAATAGTCGTCAAGGTAAGCATTCCAACTCTTTGTCAGGATTCGAAGGAATTAACCGCATTAAGTTTTAAAGTCTACATGGCATAAGTTGGATTGTTGGGGTGAAGTAAATTTCCCCGACCTCTATTGGCGTGTAAATTTGGAAACTGACGCTTAACTTTACTTAGAAAATACTTAGACCACAAGTCGTGTTGCAGACCGGCTTAAAACTAAATGTCTGGTCTATGAAAGAGACGTAGTCGAGATGTAGTTAGGGAGTCGTCACGATTAGTTGAAATGGACGTCAAGTCTCTTTAAATTGAATCTGCCTGACTATTTTAAACAAGAATGCGTAGTGAGAGCAGCGGATTTAGTCAAACAGATTTGTGAAATGATGTGCTATCAAATGGGCCCCAGTCAATAGGTAGATCGGTTGTTGACAGGTAGGAAGATTGGGAAAAAAATTGGGAAATTCAAATTGACTTATTTTGCGGATTTAGTCATCTGTGAGAAATGTTTGCTCTCAGCCATTAAATAACAAATGCGCTAAGAATACCGCAAAATTTATGGTGTTACTTCATTCTTAAGTTCACATATCAGCGAGTTTTTTTAAAGATTAGCAAATAAATGTTCAAAAGAAACAGAAATTTTGGGGATAGTTGTGTCAAGAAACAGGATTGAGATGATGGTGAAAACATTTGAAGTACACCGGAAGTTCCAGGATTGCAGAAATGAACACACAGGTCAGCAAGTCCTCAGTTCGGATGTTGACGAAACAGCTATCTTTTGTAAATTACATATTAGCCTTCTAGTGTCAGCTTCATTGATATATTTTCAGGAGTTTTTTCGTCTATTCAACATCAAACGCCTTTGTAGCTACAAGGTCGACATTGGAAAAGCAATTTTCATGGCTACCTCGGAGGTTTAATTTTTAAGCAAATCATTAAGCCATCACGATTGAAAAGAATAAAGACCGTCAACCAATATGATGAATTTCAGGAAGATTCATAGGATACAATTAGATTTAAAAGAAAAATTGAGCATAAATTAACATCCAATGGCTGATAACGATATTCGATTTTGTTGACTTGCACCTAATTTCTGAAGTATTGTGGATGTAGGAGTGGTGTCTTCGAGTCCATGTAATGGTGAATAATCATTTGAAACCCTTTCGGACGTAAAAGTTACACGAGACTTAAAGCTAGTCATTGCTGTTAAAAGCAAACCAAAAACAAAGGAGGACAGACACAACCGCTTAAAGTGGAGTGAAGGCATAATCAGGAAACAATATCTAAAACCGAAACATGATTTAATTCAATGCACCTTCCTAATCCACAGTAGCCATAGGCGTGAAGACTTGACTATGTTGACCATGACTGTAGCTATGCTGATGCAGTTAAAGTTCTTCGGGAAAAATGGTTCAATATCATGGACATTTCTGTGTCAGCGTTAGTAAGATAAGGGTCAGTGACTGCGATATAAAATGCAAAATCGACACAATTTGGCAGTCTTTTAATCGAGTACTTTTTAGCTAGCCAGGTCGCAGCAAATTCTACAAAACTGAGTTGTGTTCAACTTTTCGAATAACAGGTTAGGTTTTGAATGCAGTTGAATACAAAGGTATTAATGGCGACCGACATTCTAGCAATAATCTAAGAGGACACCAAAAAGTTTATTTATGTTCTATAGTGCGCAAGCAGGCATGCTTGCTCATGTAGCAAATTAATGGATGACAATTTGAATCATAAATACCAACTTACTTTTGTTTAACACGCTCAAGCAAGATTCAACCTAATGATGGTCCTCCTAAATGTTCATTGCAGAACTTTTGTGTTATTAATTTTGTTTAGATAACAGTAATCACAATATAGATTAAAGTAAATTGTTTTAGAATGTGTGTAATTTTTCCCAAAGGCGTTCGCTTAGAGTGACAGCCGAATTTCGATATATGCATTATTTAGTGATTAATTTCGAAAATAAGTACTATGTGGAATTAATTAAGATTTATTATTGCTAAAATCAATTATTTTGGGCATAAAAATTGGCCAATCCTCTAAAAGGGAGCACGGATCGTGTTGCAAATTGTTGACTAAATATATGAGGGATAGTGGTCAGCGGATTGTGTACAAGTAGCAAAGAGCATAAAGAAACCTAATAAATAATAATGCACTAAAAATGACCTAATTCAAGTTACTGGCACACTCTTGTCACTTTGGCAAATGCTTTTGTAATTAGGATGGAATTAAATGAGCCTCCTGACATAGCGCGCAATTTAATTTCCTTGGGTCACCGGTTTTTCGAATCTTTCAATGAATGAGGATAATTTCACCTTATCTACTAACTTGGCTAAAATTAAGCATGACCTTTGCTTAACATTGTCTAAGTGCCAAGTTCGTGGGCTCGTTCATAGCGCTGCTTGGCTTGCAGAGCTGTCATTGTCAATTCAAAATGTGAATCAAAATATGGAATTAGACACCGAGATAGATGACTCTCCAGCATCTCTAGTTGTAGCCCAATTCGCTGGTCTCTCTTTAGAAAACTTTTCAAGTTATAGCCTGGCAAAATGCTACTTTGACACCCAAGAATATGCCAGATGTGCTCGTGTATTATCATCGGTACCGAAACGGAAATCGTACCCTCTGATTGAATTTCTGTTTTTCTACTCACAATATATGGGCATAGAGAAGCATCGTACAGATGACGCCATTACCATAAGAGACAACATCTCAAGTTCTGGGAATGGAGGTTCTACCCCACCTTCTGAACCATATAGGAAAAAATTTTCACACTTAAAATCTGACATGGAGTTTCATTATACTAATAAACGCATCTTTAAGAAGGACCCAGTTACTACGTTCTTAGCCTCCGAAGTCGACGTTTATACCACCTACGTTTATGCGCTCGTTCTCGTTCGACTAGGCTTTCAGTCTCTCGCTATAACGGTGTTGTCCCATATCCTCAAAAAAGATCCATTATGGTGGCCAGCATGGTCGGAGTTAGTTGCACTCGTGGAGGATCGTGAGCAGCTGGATCGTCTTTTTCCTCCGCCTAATTCCGATAGCATTGATTGGATGACGGAATTTTTCCGTGCCAAGGTAGGCTCTACTTTGTAAGTACTGCAGTTGATGCCTTCATCAGGTGATTATTATGCGTTGGCGTCTTTTACTTGAATTTTAGGCTCTTCTGCGTTTGCAGGAATCTGAGCGAGCGCTTTCCATTTTTAAAGCTTTGTCCAACTGCGGTTTCCAGCGTAGTCTCAACTTACAAGCTGATATTGCTGAGGCGCATGATCGTCTGCGTGATTTAGACTCCGCAATGGAACAGTACAAAAAGGTTTGTTAGTTGTAAAGTTAATGTATTTTTTTTTCACGTAGATTTTTTCTCTTGATCCCTGCCGACTGACGGATACGGATATTTACTCGAACATTTTATTCGTCAAAGCTGAACACGATGAGCTTGCCTACTTAGCTAGGCGATGTGCTGAGATTGATAAATACCGGCCGCAAACTTGTTGTGTCCTTGGAAACTTCTATGGTCTTCGCAGTCAGCACGATAAGGCCGTGCTTTACTTCCAACGAGCTCTACGCTTGCAGCCAAGATATGCCCTCGTTTGGATTCTCATAGGTATTGCAACACACGTTGATTTCTTTTATTTACAACTACGTTCAACTATTCTATTCTGTTCTGCAGGTCACGAATACGTGGAATTACAACACTTGAAACTTGCCATATACGCCTATAATCAAGCGATAATCCACAATCGACACGATCACCGTGCGTGGTATGGTCTGGGCCAGCTCTACGAATTCATCAAACAGCCAGAACACGCACTCTACTACTACCAGTAGGCTATTGCCTCCATTTTGGTGGTTTACTGCCATTGTAATTGTTAATCGTTGTCTGTTGCACCTTTTAGACGGGCTCAGTACCTCTGTCCAACTGACTCGAGGATGATTGTGGCGCTGGGCGAAATGTACGAAAAACTGGGCAACATACAAGCAGCAACGAAGTGCTTCTGGCGAGCGTACTGCGTTGGCGACGTCGAGGGTGGCGCCCTCACGTCGCTGGCACGATGTTTCGAAAAATCGGGGGAATTTTCTGAGGCTGCAGCCGCGCACACCCTGTTTATCCGGCAGTGCGAAAGCCGAGGGGTACGTATCCACATGCTTCCATTGCCTTTTCATTATTGATTAGCCCGTGGAGACAGCTAACCAGGCACAAATCCGAAGCCGCACTTACAACCATCATTTCTGAATTCAAAAGCTGTTGAATCAACCTATTACAACACCATTGCTCTGCCATCAATCGTATTCTGGGATTTTCGCGCGACTTCTGAAAATTTGCGATTTAATTGGTCCACGTCTTTAGCCAATTAAATTCCGACTATTAGTATGTTCATGATCGGCAGGTCATTGGTATATTGTATTCAGGTGAGCAATGAGGCCGAGTTGGGCCAGTCCTACCGTTACCTCGCCAACTACCACCTACAACATGGTCACTACAACGACGCGGTGATCGCGGTAAACAAGTGTCTCGATTTTCCGGAAATCCGCGAGGAGGCCAAGTCCCTCTGTCTCCAGTTGACTCTTCTCTCTGGGTCGGTTAGTCTGCCCGCTGAAGTCAAACCACCTGAAGTCTCTGTTACCGGCACTCCAAGCACCAAAGGTTGGTGGTTTTGCGTGCGTGTGTGGTACCGTCCATGTAATGGTGGCTCGTGATCCAAGTCTGCTTTTGTAGCAAAATGACATTTCTAAGCTAACACTTCTTCTTTTCCACTGCTTCAGCACAGGAACACGCAGCCATGGCAACGAGGTTGCGGCTCAAGGCACGTCGGGTAAGTTCTTCTGGCGCGTTTTTTGATCCTGCGGGAGTGTGACATCGACCCGAGAATGACAAACCAGTAGATTTTTGGTGTTGCAGAGCAGAGGCATCCCGACACCTTCTGTGTTGACGGCACAGCCGTAAATATTTTACTCATCCCGGGAGCTTCTATTTGCTTGTGGGCATTTTTTAAGCTACTTAATGTTCGAAAATCGAAAAATCTGTCCCTTGTATGCACGCTAGGTCTAACACGGTTGTTGTTTGAATGTAAAGCGCAGTTAGTGTTGTAAATTTTGTGTGGTCTCACTGAACTACTTATTGCGCACACAATTTGACCACGGAAGTCGATAAATTACCCAATGGTAATCATCGAAATTCGGCTGGGTTTTATCGGTTATTTGTGGCTATGGCGACACGCTCACCGCGGCGCATCCCATTTCCAACAAATTGAACTATGTACTTTATTAATTTAAGTAGTGTATTTGTCCAGATTGATACTTCTGATGAATTTCCCTGCCTACTTCCCGCGTCTCCACTTTGTAGTTGCCACTTCTAGTACGCGCTGTCGCGTTTTTTGTTTAAATTTGTCGAAATTCCTGCTGTTTGTACCTTGTTTGAGTTGTTACAAGTGTTACTGTTCCGTAAATTGGTGTGGCGTAATTCGAAAGATATGCTCGAGGCGAGACAACATTAAAGCAACTTGAGATTTTATGTTGTTTTTTTGTCCACTAAAATCTTGTCGAGTTGTTTTACTTGTGTAAAACAGCTGAAATGTTAGTTGTTGGGTTTGTGTGTGCTTGTTTTTCCGACATTTACGTGACAACATTCTTTCACTCTGCGGACAATTTTTTCTCTTTTAGCGCCTAAAGCATCGTGGATTGAACCCCAGTGTAGTCGATTATGGCGAGTCGGTTACCATGGAGACGTCCGGCTTGCAAGATTTTCCCAGCCAATCGGATGACGCCGACCTTGACTGACAAATCAATTATTGCATTTGTATCTTTTGATATGTTTTGTTAGTACGCTCGTGGTTGTTGAATTTTAATAGTAAAGAGATTCTTTATAGATTTGGTGGACTTTTCTATGTGTGCCGCTCATTGCCAATGTCTTCACCAACTTCGACTGGCTAAAATCGATTTGTTTTTATTATGTCTACTGAAAACAAAGTGGGTAGTTGTTTTTTTTCATATTGCAGTATGGCACCCCAAACAGGACAAACCACAACAGAGAAATACCTGCCATTCCAGTTGGCACGCGTTCGCCTCTCATCTGTCTTCGGACCTCAAGTCGAGCCCCTTGTAGTTACAGGCAGCGCCCAGGAAGAAGTGGGTCAAATCTTCTCCGTATTTTCGTGAACTGGCGTCTCTCGCACCACTCACGGTATTTTCCTTATTTCAGGTGAATAGTGTGTGCGTGTGGCAGTACAATCGCTATCCAAACTATGCAGCAAACTTCGCTAACATTGAGGTCGACAACGACCTGCCGTCTCCTCTCAATGATTCGGCCGACGAACCGCGTCTGGTGTGTTCTGCTGTGCACGCAGGCGACGTTCAGCAGTTGAGGGTGGGTCTAGAGTCAAGCGAACGGCGTGCAACCCCTAGCAGGCCTGATTTATCTCCTGATTTCTTAGAGTCACGTTGGGTCGCGGCTAGTGTTCACGGGGAGTTCAATGGGCTTCCTGGGGATCTACAGACTCGCCCTGCCAGGAACAGAACACGACGCCTTCCAGCTGCACGAAGTTGCCACGTGGTCGCGCGGTCCCGCTGATCCCGCGGACGAGTTGATCCGCATCGACGTGCCCATCTCCGACGTGTGCGTCTCCACCGACGCCGCACAGATCTACGCGGCCAACGACTTGGGCCAGCTGTTTGTGCTCGACACGGAAATGCTCGCTGTTAAACGTAAATCGTGGATACGTGCTGTTGCTGATAGACTCTGCTCGCTGTTGATTGGCTGTTTGTGTAATTTCCTGCTTTTTTTGCAGAACAGCTGATGCTAACGGCTTCGGGCAGCGATTTGTCCACAATCAACGCAATCGAATCGATCGATGCCTCGTGTATCGCGACTGCAAATCAAATCGGGCAACTGAATGTGTGGGATTTGCGGTCACCCGATTCCACCAACCTCTCTCAAAAGCGGATTGTACCGTATGCTTCCCCTTTTTCTTTTGCTCCTCACTTTTGGGTTAAAATAACCCCCCAAATCTCCTTCTGGACAGTGTTTATCACTGACAAGAGTAGACATGGCAAGGTGGTTTAAGGATTCCTCACACCTGGTGGTAATTTTCTGCCTTCTTGTGGCAGGAGGGGTGAACCGCGTCCATTGACCTGCCTGTCCCAGCACCCTGGGCAGTCCCACTTGCTCGCGGTCGGCGGCATGAACAGCGGCCATGGCGGTGGTCACAAGCATGCAACAACGACGAGCTACATCTGGGATTTGAGAGCAGAACGACATCCGCTAAGCGAGATCGTATGCCGCGGGAGCGTTGTGTGGGAGATCGGCTTCCATCCGCACCAGCCACAGTTCCTGTACCTCGCCACTGAGGAGGCCGGACTCATGCGAATCAAGTCGGCTTCATCAGCTGGTATGTGGATACACTTTCCTTGTGTACACATATCGAGGGCCACGTTAATACTAACGAGTGATGTTTGTTTTTTTCATCATCATCATCATCGTCCATGTAGAATCGTGGTCGTTTCTGCAAAGCTGTCAGCAAAAACTGTCGGCAACTTGTGTGACCTCCAACCCGGCGGATTACTGCAGTGTCACCACGTTTGACATGGCCAGCGGTTTTGTTGTGTGTGGCAGGGATAACTGTGCCCTCCAGACCATTAAAGATACCTCTGTGTCAACATTCTCTTGTGAATAAAAGTTTTGTAGAAATTGTTTCTCCTTCAAGTGTGTGGAATCGTTTAAACCCTGTTTCTGGTCAGCTCTGTGATATAGGGCGAACACAGATAGTCAAGACATCAAAACTGGACAATCAGTTTCCGATTATAAGTGTTGTGATTTGCGTAAAATCCAAAACACGTTCATTTTAAATTATGTCAAGGCGTTAAGTGATGACAGCAGTAGTCGAAAGAATAGGCAAACTAGGGAGTCAAAAGTTGTACAAGCATTTAATTGCATGTAGCCGATTTACAGTTTGAACTGAAATTCAACCTTGGGACGTAGTATACTTGACAAGATTAAGAAAATTTTAGGAACTGCCTATAATTCAAATACGTCATGTCAGAGATTCTTAAGAAGTGAAGTTAGCAACCGAAGTTGATTATATGATACGATTTTCATTAACATTAGTCTAAATAGCCACTGAGCATAATTGACAATCAAGATTATTGAATATTTAACAGATCCCAAGTTCAAATGAAAGAATTTTGCTCAAGTTCCAAGCGAATTACTACGCCAAGACATGGACGTCATTTACCTGAATTCACAAATATTATTTACAGTACCGATAAAGGTCAGAAGAATTTTGTGAAGATCCATAAATGTCATAAAGGGGAACACAGTGCTCACTTTTGACGAAAAATTTAATCTTTGACATAAGTGCAAATATTGACATCTTTGCGTTGATGCAAGTCGCTCATTACTAACCTGATTTAGCGAAATCATTTTCCAAATCTGTACAAATTTTCAGAAGTGTGACGCAATGAGCTAGAATTTTATTAGGAAAGCAATTTTTAAATATTAGAGGGGTGAAAACATGTAACAATACGCAAAACACTTCAAGTATCTGATGACCTGTAAATATTTTTTCAGTTATCTAGAACAAGAATGCTCACTTCTGAAAATAGTTATGTGGTTCCCATTTGTAACTTCTGAGACTGAAAAGACCAGTGATATGAACACCAAAGAATGTTCTCTTTCTAATAGTAAAAACCATTATCTGCTTATACGATCTGCAAAAACATGTTATTAGTAGTCAAAATATTTTCAAACTTTCGATTTAAAATGAAAATCGTACTTTAGCGTAAACCTTGTCAATAAATTTAATAAGGGTTAAACTGCACTTACAAAATCCGAAAGGGGGTTTTCTAAAACCTAGGTTATTATATTATAAAAGATTTAAATGCTATTATGGCAACATGATTTTATGGCGTTTATATGAGGTGTTCTAAAGGTGCATTGGTTGAAAGATTCTGTTGGGTTATATATTTATGCAACGCTGTATAACAATTGGAGATAAGTCATTCATATTTTGTGAGCCTGTATTCTAGAGCTCAGGTAATAATGCAACTTTTTTATGATGTCATTTCATTGCATCTTTTGTGTCGGTGTGCTAATTTTATTTCGGCAATTTATTTTTCATCTTATTGTCTGCCTGTATCCTTAGTGGCTTTTATAACTGTTAATGTTTATGGCTTTTGTCAGTAAAATGGAGCCACCGTCGGAGTTGAAAGTACCTGAACCCGTTGTGGAACCTAGCTCCATGCCTACCGAAGTTGGTGTCGAGACTACGACACCTTCTGATGAAAAAGAGGAAGAAGAGGATGATGAGGAGGAAGAGGAAGACAAGATAGTCGAAAAATCTTACAACAACCGCTTTCACAAACGGAACAAACGCTTTCCGACTCAGATTGATGGTGTTGACAATACTTTCATCGCAATTGAACCAAAGTCAGGAAAAGAGGTCATATGGAATGAGAGAATGCTGCCAGAAAAGAAGATGGAACGTGATAATAAGTTCATATCAGTTATGAAGAAGTTAAAGAAACATGCCCACCCATTCCTTATTCGGTTCCTGGATGCCTGGATAATCAAAAATGACACGGGACCAAGAAAGCTTGTTTTTATAACTGAGCGCCTAGATGAGGGCACATTGAAGCAATTCTTGTGCAATTCCACCACACGATCCAAGTTGGTAAGCCACTATCGTCGTTTGCTACGTCACCTTTAGTTATGGCGGAGACACATTGGTCAACTTTTGTCTGTGCTAATATTTCTTCATCACCTTGGTGTGACTCACGGAAATTTGAAGAAGGAAACAATTTATTACCAGAGTTCTGGAAGTGTGAAAGTCGGACCATGTATGATCACATTTTCTTTAATTACTCCTATCTTAGTTATGCTTGAGGCATTTTTTAGTCAAAAGTCGCCGTCTTCCGATATTTACGCTCTTGGCGTTTTGGCTCTCGAGGTAATCATTTTACTTTCTACATTCTAAAATGTTACCTATTTTGATTGATTGATTTTCAACAAGTTTGTTATTTTGTCTGTTTTTATAAAAATGGAACGTAGTGCATAACGTGGGTTTTACCCTTGTTTGGCAGTTTATAATGGGTTTGTCTTGTGTCGTTTTTTTCAGTTTGGCGTCTGGGTATGATAACTTTACCTTCGAATTATTGATCCTCTTCCCTGGCAAAAACTTTTTTCAGTACATTAATGTACTGTCACGCGGTTATTTTTTTTGTGGAAGTCAGCTGCTACGTAAATTGGTCAGTTGCACGACGCCGAAAGTTCTTGTACTGCTATAATCATCATACTTCGTGTCACATTCCCTAAGGTCCCAACGTTGCAGCAGGCTTGCCAATGATGACATACCTGGTAGTCTTTTAATCAGTTTGTCTACAAGGCAGTCACTTGTTGACATTTGAGTTAAATCGGCACTTATGTGAATTTCTGCTCTATGCACTTATAGTAACTTTTTTCTCCACCCAACCTACGAGTGACAAATCAAGAAACATATACCAACTTTCATGATGGGTTTAATTAGAAGCAAAACACTGCCACCTTGCTTTGTAAAATGCAGACTACACAAGGTCGTTTTCGCCTTGTTCCTTTTTACTCGTATTTGGTTAAAACTTATGTAAAGTTGTAAAATATTTGATTTACACCCTAACTAAAACCTTGATAAATGAAAACCTTGTCGTATTTTAATCTTCGTCATGGCTACTGTTCAATTTATGAGGTATTTGCGGGCATGGTAGTGCCTATAAAGTGCACACAGTTGCCAGTGTATACACGGGCGCATGTTGGGCCTTCTCTCTCGCTTGCAAGCCTGTTTGCAACTCATTAACCTAGATTTTCACATCGCCACCTTCATGGTTGTTTTCATGAGTCGTTAATCTGGCCTTGTTTGGGTAAACGCAGATTGCCGCGTGGACCCAAGCCGTCGAAACCCAGGCGAGTTCGGAGGAGGAGCGCATCCAGCTCATGCTCGACAGCCTCGTGGATCAACAGCAGCGCAGCTTCATTGAGGCCTGCTTCGATCCCAACCCCGCCACGAGGCCGCGAATCAAGGCCCTCCTCAACAATCCCGCTGTATCCGAGGTCCCGACGCTGCGGCTTCTCTCCGCGAAGATCCTCGTCAACTCGAGTGAGTTGTCGCGGTACCTGAGCCTTAGTTTTCAAACCAGGTCGCCTCACCCGTGCTCTCTCGTGATTGGTTAATCGTGGAGTTTTGCACCGTTGCTCATGGTGTGAGGGCCGACAGCGCACACGCGTGGTAGAGGTCAAACCCTCGTCGCCTATTCACGGTCTAGTTACTAATTGCACCCTGTGTTTTTATTAACAGAGAAGCCCGATTTAATAAGTGTGTTCCAGGCCATAGCACTGCAGAACAAATTGTGTACTTCGCCTACGATTTTGGCTACTTTTACGTTCAAAACCTTTAAAATTGTCAATACGGCCGTGTTAGTACATGTACGTGGGATAAATTCGGTTCTCTCAACCACGAGAATGTTTATTTATATTACCGAATTATGGGCCATGGTCATATTGTGCTTGATCTGGAGTTGCCTAAAACATAGTTCTTTTTGTTCGATTGATGAAGTGCACCGTTACCTGTAGGTACACTCTCCATTTGGAAGACCGTTTGAGTCCCAGCTGCGTCATTTGGAACAAAATTGTCTCACGGACCAACAGACAGTCTCGTTAGCGTTCGTCACTAAGTTACCGCTGAATCAACAGGTCACTGTGCAAGGCGACAACACCTTGTTTGGTTATTGCATCGCGACCCATCCTGCACCTAGATCTTTTCAATAAAAATCACTACTAGAAGAGAAAAATTGTAGGTGAAATCGGTCGATTCTTGAGGTGGTTTGCTGTTATCGTGAATTATTAGCAATCATATCACCTTGCCCTCAGTCCATCCTCAGTAAATGCCTTTTTGCAACGAAAAAAGCTCACACGCACACTCCGAAGCAACTAACCTAGGGACGCGGGGTGGGGGGTATTTTCTATTGGTCTGCTCTAGCGAAGTCAGTGCCAAGTGAGGACACGGCAGCCCCGGTGACCGCAGGCTCGGGAGCGACGGTGGCGGTCGCCGAGGTCAAGCAGGAGACGCCGGCGGGGTTCGCGGGTCTGCTGCAGGACTACATGAGTCACCTGGAGGACGAGACGGTCATCGTGGAGGTCACCTTCCCCACCGACCAGATCTCCAAAACTCGCACCTGGAAGGACTTCCGCTCCAACTTCACCTTCACGTCGAAGTACCTCGAGGACGTCAAGTGAGTTTGTTTCGTGTTTTGTTTATGCTGTCAAAGGCATCACGTCGTGCAGATTGACAGTGTTTATTGCTGATTTCTCACGCCAAAAGTCGTTTTCACCGTAGCCACCACACCCCCTCGTGTCCCCGGCCACGCGTAAAAAAGTGGCCAAAGCGCCAGCTTCGTGGTTCATGGGGCTTTTTTTCCGAGTCACCCGTCATCTCCTTTTTCAATGTGTGTCTTTTTTGAAAAGAATCCGCGTCGCTACTGGATGGCCATCAGAAAGACCACGCGTGGAGCTTGCACTTCTTGCCTCCATTTTGACCGAATTCGCCCAAAACACGCACCCTCTCACACATCGCGGCATTTGGGCTGATGACTGTATCAACGAATTTCACCTTGACTGCCTAGTTCCAGGGTATTTTTTTGGAAATTCCCACTCCACTTGTTAAACACGCGTTTTCACGCGCACTGCAAAAGCACTCTCGTAGTTTGTTGATTGGATGAATCACAGTGGGCGCGCTCTTTTGCCGACTTCACGCGGCCTCTTTGTTGGTGACCTTGAACAGGCACCTTCTTGATTGGTCTGAAAGGGCGAATTGACGAAATCAATCGCTTCCCTGTATTCATAATGCTCAAACCTGTGGCCCTAGCCTAAATTTAAATTTGGGTTGAAGAAACGCGAATCTCGACGTGTGTAATTTGGAAGTTGCCCAAACGGGATATTTTTGCTATTGTCGTCACTTCCAAAACCACTGGCCACCCAAATCAGTAAAATCTTACACTGTTTCTGAATAAAAATATCTATTTAGTGATGGTTAATTCCTGTGTCCGATTCAGCGATTGGATGATCTACGAATAGTCGAGCAAACCGCCGTTTTTTAATTGAGGAGAAATATGACTCAGCTTCACGGATCGCACCTACTCTAAGTCGTCAAATTCTGCGATTCACACAACGACGACGACGACGACCAATTCTAGCTGTTCCACTTCCTCTGTATAGACTAGCACTTGTGGTTCCTTCAGGTTTGGTCGAATTTGTGCTGTTCTTAAAATAACTGCGGCGTTTCATGCCTTAGAGAGGGCGATGGGCTTCGCACTACCAACGTGCTACATGGCGCTTATTTATGGGCGTTATTTTTCCCGTCAAAATTTCCGCTCTAGCGGACGTTTGGCAAGTGAATCGCTTACGGTAGTAAAATTCCTCTGGCCCTGCACAGATAGATTACGAAACAAACATGTGTAACCAGTCTCACCTATCAACTGCCAAAGCGTCATAAACATATCTCCACTCGCTATTTTTGATCAGTGGAAAGTATGGATGGTGGCACGTTGGCGGCGATCGAATCGAGTCGGTTGCCATTCACCATGTTGGGGAAACGCCTCGTCTGCGTAAAGCGACTTGGTGAATGCAGACATTCCAACTTTCCGCGATGTACACTGCGTCCACATTCAACGCCAGACATCACCTTCATTGCAACGGGACAGCTTTTCGACTGC